CACAGTTGAGATATAGCCAAACCTGGGATAAAAATTGAACCCTAGGAGAAATGCTTGTGAACATGCCTGTCCCTACCAAAGGGCTTCATTCCTTGGTCATCCTAAGCAAAAAGCCGGGTTTGCAAACAACTCCGCTGACCTAAGAAGTAAAACCTGGCAGGGCAACATCCAGCATATTTCCACACAGGCGCCAGCCTGACTCTGAAATCCACAGGGGCATCTCTGAGCGCACGCATCTTTCCATTCCTGTCTATGATTTTGCCCGTACTTCCGAGAAGTCCCATTGGGAAGGCAAAACAGAAGAGAGGAAGGACCAGAATTCTATGCTTGATTTATCTGGATGCCTTGTGGCCAGTGTTCCCTCTAAGCTGAGTTAGTGTGAGCTAGCTCACAGTTTTTTAGCCTCTGGCTCACACATTTTTGTCTTAGCTCAGGAAGGACGGCTCCAGAGCCAACTAATTTACGCAATAGCCAAATCAATCACTCACAACTTTAATGCCAGTAGCTCACAAAGTAGAATTTGTGCTCACAAGACTCCACAGCTTAGAGGGAGCATTGTTTGTGGCTTGGCTTCATTCATAGCACACTCCACCCAAAGGACATGAAACAGGAAACAATGAGTTGAAATCATACCCCCCCCCCCCAAGTTACACAGATACTAACACCCTAAGCTGTGCTATGGAGAGTCAGACTACTGGTACATCTTGCCCATCATCTTCTCTAGTGGAAGCTCTTCAGGATCAGGCAGAGAAAGATCTTTAACTGGAAATGATAAGAATCGAATCTGGTGCTTCTGCGCATGGAGCACATGTCCTATCCCTGAGCCGCAGTCCCTCCAAAAATAGCCCTGAAGATTTGAAACTGCTTTATAAAAATTACTTTTGCAAACGATGCAAAACTGAATTATTCAGGAGGGCCTTTTTACAAAAGCAATAGAGTTTTATAGTGTGTGCTACATGCCGTCAAGTTGCTTCCAATGTCTGGCGACCCTATGAATTAATGACCTACAGATTATCCAATCACCAACAGCCTTGCTCAGGTCTTGCCAGCTGAAGGCCGCTGCTTCCTTTATTGAGTCAATCCATACCATGACGGTTGGGCAGGGCTCTTTTTGTAGAAAAAGCCCAGCAGGAACTCATTAGCATAATAGGCCACACCCAACAGCAGAAACTCATTAGCATATTAGGCCACAACCCTGACAGCACAGCTCATTAGCACATTAGGCCGCACCCCCATGTTACCAGAAGTGTGGTCATCCAGCCACACCCACCTTTTGCTTGTTATTCTGTTTACCTTGTTTGTTGTCAAAACCCAGGGCATTTTTGTAGCAGGAACTCCTTTGCATGTTAGGCTACACACCCCTAATGTAGCCAATCCTAATGAGTTTCTGCTGTTGGGTGTGGCCTATTATGCTAATGAGTCCCTGCTGGGTGTGGCCAACTCAGGAGCCAGCCAGAACTCCATTCCTGTGTGTTGCTGCCCAAAAATAGCCCTGACATTGGGTCTTCCTGTTTCATTGCTGCCTCCACCTTTTCCTAGCGTTATTGTCTTTTCCAGTGAGTCTTATCTTCTCATCACGTGACCAAAGTATGTGCAGGGTTTTATTTCAACGGAATTGATTCAGAAAGACTGCATTAGTAAAGGGAAAGATACTGTGGCCTGTACTACAGCGTGCAGTATATACTATCAGTTGCCGCGTGCATTGTCCTATTATGTAATTCCTGCAGTGTTTAATAAACCGTGTTAATACTTAGGCTTTGTTGCAAGCTTTTCGCTTGGTTTTAACTTCTGCCTCCTAATCCGATCACGCTGCTTACTGGATGTCCCATCCTATTGACTGCATTGACTTACACTTTGCAATCTGCCTTGTGTCTCCGTAAGAAAGGTGGACTATAAAAAAATATAAATAAATAAATAGTCCAGGACTGGCAGCAGTTCATGGAGGACACGTCTATCAGCGGCTACTGGCCATGGTGTTTGAAAGGAAATTCCACATTCACAGGCATTAAAGCTCTGAATCCCAGTGCCAGGAGGCAATATCAGGGGAAGGCCTCGACCTCTACGCCCTTTTGTTGGCCTTCCAGAGTAACTAGTTGGCCACTGTGTGAGACAGAATGCTGGACTAGATGGTTCGATCCAGCAGGGCTCTTCCTACGTTATGTTCCCCATTGTCCCAGCCAGAGAAAGGTCTTTCTCAAAACCTAAGAGCTTTTAACTGGAGACCGTGGGCCTCTGGTATGTATATAAAAGTAGTGTGCTATTGCTGATTCATGGCCTCTCCCTACGACCATCTCGCTTGGCTACTGAGTGAATACAAAACATCTCGCAACACTACTGGACAATGCACATGCTCAGGCGAGTCTCCCAGAGAGGAGAGTTCCAAAGCCCAGGGGCAAGCATCACCCCCCTCGTGGTCCTAGCCTGATGCAGGAACGAGGAGCTGAAAACTGGAATAAGCTGTCACAAGCGATCCAAAGTCACCACCGCTGCTTCTCTCTCTTCCCTTATTTACAACACGCAATATGCAGTGAGATAGAACAGTTCACAGTGGGGTCTGGATGCCAAAAAAATAAGTCCAGATAAGAGGAGAGGATGCTGTCTGGGAAGGATGAGGTCCTGGGGAAAGTAATTCTGCCTGTTCTAGATGGGGCAGATCTTTCTTCAGATTGGCTCATTTAAGAGTTTAGGGGACCTGCTGGACCCAACCCTTTTGCCACAAAAACAAGCCAAGTATACTCCCCCCCCCCCGATACATTTAGCATTGAGTATCAACACCCTGCTGATCCATGCTACCATAACCTTGGAGCTAGACTACTGAAATGTGCTGTATGTGGGGCTGCCCTTGCAGGCAACCCAGAACTTCCAGCTGGACCAAAATGCAGCAGCCCATGTTTTCACTGGGGCAAAACACTATGGCCATAAATGATAATTCTAGAGACTTCACACTGATTCAGTTTAACAAGCTGGTTATTACCTGTAAAGCCCTTCATAAGTTAGGGCTACAAACCTGAAGGATTCTCTCTCCCCATACATATCTGTGTGGACTCTTCCCAGCAAACCCTTTTTGTGCAGTTCGGTCAGTTTCTACCCAGTCTTAGGCCTTGGGAGGGGGCTGCACCATCTTTAAGAAAAAATAAGCCAGACATGCTCCAACCCTTCTGGTATTTTAGAGACTCTGTAAAGCTGGGCTTTTGGGTGAGCTTCTTAAAGCCGACTAAATACGGTGAGCTGTTCTAACTGGGCTGGCCAGGCTGCTGAGCAAAGCTCCATCCATTGCTTTATTTATTCTATGATGCTCTTCTGAGTCTAGCGATGTCTGGTTTGTGATGGAATATCACGGATTGGTTCTCGGTGGTTTGTTTGTATGAAATCTTAGCGCTGTACGCCGCCTTGGGGAAAGAAGGCGGCATGGTATAGCCCAATCTTATCAGATCTCAGAAACTAAGCAAGGTCAGTAGTACTTAGAAGGGAGACCTCCAAGGAAAACTCTGCAGAGGAAGGCAATGGCAAACCACCTCTTCTCACTTGCCTCGAAAGCCCCTTGCTGGGGTCGCCATAAGTCAGCTGCAACTTGATTGCCCTTTACATGCACACTCAAGCCCCCTTGAATTTCAAATCAGGGGGGAGAGGATGGGGGGGAAGTTTTTAAGATGAATACAGTTGCTTCCTGAACCCAGGTGCAGGGGTGAGTGGGTAGCTAGGGTGATTCAGTAGATGAAGGAAACGCACTCTGCATATGCTCAGGGCGGTTCCTAAAATTCCAGACAGGTCCCGGAGCTCGGCCCAGATGCAGAGGAAGTTCTGTGTTCAGTCGTAGCCAAGTCGGAGCAATATTTAAATCTTTTTAGGAGTCAGGTGTTTGCAGGGCTCCTTGAAGGACAACAAAAAAATAACCCCACGTCCTGAATGACACTAGATCTGAATGTAAGTGAAACGAATCAATGCTTCTGTCTCAGGGTCTTTGGTGCCCCTGAGCATCAAAACGTTGCCCAACACCCAATCCTCAGGTCTGTAAGGGGCACATTGCGCTAGTGCTGACCTGGGGGGGGGGAGAGTGGAATACAGGCTTCGGGGCAGAGGTCACCATTTGGGTCACTTCAAGGCTTCTCACAGAAATCACCTCACACCAAAGGATGTTGAGCCCCCCCTTGAAGGGGGGCTGGACACAACCCATCTGACCCCCCCATCCCACCCCCACAGAAGTCTGCGCATACTCTCTGCCCCACACAACCAATTCACCGCTGTAACTGGAATGTGGTTATTTGGGGGAATCCTGTTCCTTCTCTCTCCCACCCGCCAGACTTATCAGGGCAGTCTCTTCGGATCCCTCAGGCGCTTCCCCCAGACAGGGGGAAAGAGCTTTGTCCTCTTCACCTCTTCGGATGAAGGTTTTCCGCCAGCTCCATGTCTTGGGTGGTGGTGGTGGTGTCTGTATAATCATTTGCCTCATTTCAGTCTTTCCCATCGTTTGGGGTCGTGGTGCACCCCCAATATTCACACAGGAAGAGGGAAGGGTTCACCTACAGTTCCAAAGTGGGGTGAGGAGGCCTGCCCCTCTCTTCCCCCAAAAAAACATTTCCTTTTTAACCATTGCCATGCCTCCCCAGGAGCAAAAGCTTCAAACCCCCCACCCCAATCAACAGGGCACCACCAAGAAAGCACGAGGGGGGGCGCTATAATCTTGCAACACACACACACACACCCTCCCCAACCGTCGGTTCTTCTTCCCCAAGGCTTCACGCCGCCCCTTCCAGTTCCCACAGACGCCCCAAAACCCCTTGCCCCCACTCGAAAGACCCCCCTGCCCCAGTCGACGGCGCGTCCTCCCCACAGTTGGGTGGTGCCCCCTCCTCTTCTTGCAGGGGAGGAAACCTCCTCGGGTCTTCCCTCCACCCTGAAGTCTGTCCCCCTCTCCAAAAGAAGAAGCAGCAGCCGGTGGCGCCTCGGCCTCCTGGCCCAGACGGGGCGTCCACCCATTCTCCCGTCGGCCCCGGACTCACCGTGCGCAGCTCCTGCGTCCGGTCCTTCATCGCTGCTGCCGCTGTTGCTGCTGCTGCTGCCGCCGCGGCTAGCTCGCCTCCCTGCCTCTCCGGCGGCCGCGATCAAGGGAGGAGCTGCGAGGAGGAGGAGGCGGGCGGCGGCGGCACATGCGCTGGAGCCGGAGGGAGGGCGGCAGCAGCAGCCAGGCAGTCGGAGGCTTCAGCCTCACACACACACCCCGACGGTCCCGGAGGAGCCCGAGGCAGGCTGCTGGGTGGCCGCGCCAGGCGAAGACGGAAGCCTCTTCCGGAGCTCCACACTCGCTGCCCGGAGAGCCCTGGCCCAGCCGGGCGGTAATCGCGCGGCAGGACCCGCCAGTTTGCACTCGCGGCACGCTCAGAGGCACTCGTCTGTTAGGACGCTTCCCGGCCTAGGGGGAAAAAAGGCGCGCTTATCCTGGGAGTAAGACAAGCCATAGCAGGGCTGGTGGACATTGGTGGGGGTTGGCCCCCCGAATAAACATTTAAAGGATTGGGCTCTATAGACTGATCTCTGGGGAGGGGCCGGTAGCTGTTTGAAAATAAATGCTCTGCCGGTCATGGTGATTTTCTCGGGATATTTACAGTCCATAAGTCCTGTTTGTTTGTTTTTTTTAGGGGTGGGGATCCTTCAAGTGAAAGGAACTCTGTGCTTGCTCAGAAAAACTCTGTCCAGGGTGCTGGAATTCCTGACACCCAAAGCTAACGGTTGTGGTGTTTGGGTATGATGCTATAAGACGGGGATCCCCAAAGTGGTGCCTGGGACCACCATGGAGCTGCCAACACCTTTCCCGTGGCCCACCAAGTGTTTTTGAGAAAGTGGGTGGGAATAAGTAGGCTCTTGGAGGTCTGATTGACTTGCAGACAGCTTCCTCTACAGTGCTGGTTGTATCCTGTCTCTGACTCCTCTTTCCCGGTGTATTTTTTAATGTCTACTCCTCTTGCCCCCTGCACTTCAGCTTCCTCTGTGACTGTGGTTGGCTCTGCCTCCTGGGGTAGCCATTTTGTGGTTGGTCCCACCTTCTTGTGCCAGAATTCTGAAGGTGCCCAAGGGCTCGAAAAGGCCAGGGACTCCTGCTGTAAGTGGACTTGTTGCTGGGAAAGGAGGCATATATAAGTCAGGCTGTAGGATGGGGGGGGGGGGTAGCAAGCAGATGTAGTAGGTGTTATTTTAAGCTGTTTCTATCTTGTTGGAATTTCTTTAGTCAATGGATCCTTAAGCTAGGAAGGGAGGCTTTCTTGAGTAAGACATCACAACTTGAGAGACTGGTCATGTGGTGCCCCCCCCCAGAAGGGAGTTTGCTGGTGGGAAAGATCAGGTTCCATTTGATAAGGTGGGGTTGCCAACTGACCAGTGCGGTGTGCGTGTGCCTCATTTTGTCCTGCTATTGTGCCTTTAACCACATTGTCAGGTGCAGAAATCAGCCCATGGGTTTTTCTTTTTCCCCTCATGACCCAAAGATAAGCCTGATCATTTGCTATGGCCTACCTCTCAGGCAACTGTTAAAAGCACAGCTGCGGTGGCTTCTTGAAAAGGTGACAACCCAACAAATGGCTACATTTCGAATCCAGACTGCATCTGAAGAAATAAGCTCTGGTTGACAAAAATTCATGCTAGAATAAACGTTGTTTGTCACCAGACTTGTGTAAAGAGCCATCGAATCCCAGCTGACTTATGGCGACCCCGTAGGGGTTCCAAGGCAAGAGACTGATTGAAGTGGTTTGCCATTGCCTTCCTCCAAATAGCAACCCTGGAATTCCTTGGTGGTGGTTCTCCCATCCAAAGACTAACCGGGGCCGACCCTGCTTAGCTTAGCTGGGGCTACCCCTCTTCTTTTAGAAAGCGGACTTGGGAAGAGTTATTCGGAAGAGATTCTGCCACCTGCTGGCTAGAGGAAGGGTAGCAAACGAGCCTGGCTGACTTAGCTAAATCTTTCCTTTAGCACATCTTATACACACACACCCCTTCAAAGAGGTCTGCAGCCCTTCTTCTGTGCTTGAAACAGCTCTGCAAGGCAGGCTTCTGTCATTCCCATTAACTCAGTTTTAGCAACCTATACTC